CACTCAGTACGATGTAGAAGGGTAGCCTGTAAGGATACTGGCACATAGTACATGGTTGCAGAAGCAACCGATACCGTGGTTCGAGGTGCAACTGCTCGATTGCTGGGATCACCTCATGCCAGAACATGGTCACATTGCTGTAAAAATCTATTAAAGCATCCGAGCCGGCGCTTATACCGATTCGTGTAGCAACTCGTTCTAGTGTGTTGTAACGCCGGAACCCAACTTCAGTAATAATCCTGAAAATAAAGGACTCTGAACAAATTAATGAAAAATTTTTAGATCCTGTACAACTCCCTAAAAAACCGAGAAATTCCAAAAACATGGGTTATTTAAAAGAGAAATGATTTGTTTTCGTTATTCGGCGATTTCATATTCAACCCTTTTGAAACTCTTTTTCAGTACACATCAGTTAGCGTAACCTATCAGTCGGGAAATATTCATATTTTAGCCAAAACTACCACGCCTGTATGGAGAGTCAGAGTAGTGATCCCAAATTAGCGTTGTTACTGAGATGCTCTCATACGCTAGGGACCTCATTCCTCGAATGCAAGTCTCTAGCTAACGCTTAATGCGTGCTCAGTGTAAGGGCACCATCTCTTCGGGGGTCTTCCAAACATTTGCTTGTTTTTTCGCCAGTACGAGTTACTAATGTGCGATGCCCATGGGGTGTCAAGTAATCATCACATACTATATTTAATTTCTAGCTCCTGTCCCTCCTTTTGCTCCACAATTGGTCGCACACGTTTTTACCAGACACAATTCACCTCTAATTTCTCTTCTGTTTTCCGAGTTGGTTAATCACTAAAATTGCTATAATGCATCGAAACCTACTGAAGTTTTTCAAAAATGCTCAGCAAAGCGAGTCTTATTAGGTAAGGCGTTATAAAAAATAAGTGAATTATTTAAGTAAGACGTTATAAAAAAAAAGTGAAATATTTAGTAGGTAACACCTTCATTCCATTCTAGGTTGGTCAAGCTTACAGATGGCTCCAGTCATGCGTGAAGCCGCTATTTCATGAGTGATTGATAGAGAAGAACCAGCATGACTCTTGACCTTTTATGGACGAAGTCAGCGATCTGGTTGATGAGTCGAAGGGTTATTTCTTGTTCTTCCTCATTCCATTTCACGGATCGGGTTGCATTAGATGATGAGTGGGAAAGCAGCGCATTGTTGAAAATAAATGAGCAATCGTTACCATGCGATGCCCCTGAAATCAGTGCTGTCGATCAAAACTGCGTCACAGTTTCAAATTCATTTTCCTCGACCTCATGAAAGTGAGACTTTCTTCGAATTAATGTCAGTCATGGCTCGAAGTGTGCGGCAATGTGTGAACAAGACTTAAAAAGAGCTGATGACGGCCTGCCCAGCTTCCATTAAGGTAGGCAGGGCGCTGTCCAATTTTGATTCCTCTCCGAGATATCCTCCTTTTCTGTTTTTTTTTTTTGTTCCATTAGCTCAAATGCTTTCCCCAAACCTTTTTGGGTCTTTGAATTTGCTTTCACAGTTTGTCACTTTTGCTTCATCACAACAGGCGATTTTGACGCCCTTCAGCGCACCCATTCCGAAAAGGACCGGATAACACTGCTATATGCAGTTTCCTTCATTTTAACAAATCCCCTTTTGCGATATGTAATTCACAAGAAGTATTCGGCCCGACAATCTAAGATTTAAAGTTCGTCCGGTAAGCTGCATGTGAAAAACAGGCGAAGGAGCCTTATCAAATTACGCCTATCACTTGTTGCTTACTGTAGAAATTGGTATTTGTCATTTTCTGCTTGCTGTAGAAATCACCTTTTTGTATGCCGCTTGCCCTGATATTTGCTAGCAGATGTGCGTTTTCATACTCAAAAACATACGCATACACAATACGATTGTTCCGTGCGTAGAGCAACGCTTCACGTGCCGCCGGTGCAACGAAATTTTGATCTGAAAAAAATTGCAATACCATTCAGACTTTTTGCAAAATCCCAATAATTACAAAATGAACGCAATGCGATACAGCCTCCCAAACAAACGAATCTGTGCAGTCCACTTCAGTTACACTCTAGAAAATTGGGGAAAAGAAAACGAGTAGCCGTTACGATCAAAAATGGGCAACCAGCAAGTGACGCAGTCGCGGAAAAATTTGCCGGCTCCCTGAATACGCATCAAATGTGCAACAGTTGACCATAGTGTCAAAACATCTAAGTTACTTACCAGAAACAATGTTGAGAAGTACGTGTCGTTGCTCGGCCTCATTCAGATTTTGCGGATAATCGTTTAGATACCGATATTCCACTGCTTTTTGTACCTCAAATATATTTTTTAAAAGGAGGTAATTCGCTAGTAATTTTTAAACGGGCATCGATTCAATAAGCGCCCGATGTGAAGAATGCTTTGCTGGCCATATCAGTGAATATTAGCCATTGACCCACCAGCAACAAGCAGGATCGTTTAGCTTTTTATTTGTTTTGACTGATTTTTGCAGCGTAAAACGCACATTGGCAAGACTCCGTCTGTGTTTTTGTGTTTTGATATTTGTCTTGATTTTTCTACTCAGCGGTCAAAAATTTTAGAAGGCTAAAATTTTGAAAGTTTGACAAGAAATCTCCTAAGTTGAGCCTAACAAAATAGGGAGCTGAAATTTTGAGAGGGTGTTCTATTTTCATGTGCGATCCTGGGAATTTAAATTCAGCTTCTAAATATGTTACACGTGAAATTTTATGCGAGAATCTTTTAGCTTGTAATTCTTGCGTAAAATAGACAAAACAGAAATTTAAAATTATAGGGATATTTTTCCTGCCTCACGAGCGGTTCTAAAAATTTGAGTTCAACCTCAATGTATGTAAGCGTTCGTCAGATGTGGACATACATTGAAGTTGAATTTAAAGGGAAATCATTAGCATCTTTCTAGCTCCACTGAATGGAACTGCACAAAACGCATGATCACAATTCTATCTGGTGCGCGCCATTACTCATTATTTTAAACTGTAAACAATGACCGCTTAATTCTTCATAAATCACTAGAAAATTAATGGCTGTCCAGCTGTTCACAGCTCTTTTTCCCGATTGTCATTCGCTCAGAGATAGTGAGGAAAATCTGTTTGTTGGCTGAAATCCGTTCGACTACCTGTTTGTAGTTGGAGTGCAGGAAAGGAGAGATGAATTCGCTTAGATCCCATTCCATCTCCTT